CACTTTTTTCTTTTAAGCTCTTGATGGTTAAAAAAATTCTCACTTGCGCGACCATTTTTGGGCGGATAGTCAGGAGTGGCGGCATGCTTACCATGTAGCTCTCTTGGCTTTCATAATTCGAAAAATATGAACAGAATAGGTTACCATTCATGAATCAACCAGAAGATCTATTTTTAACCACCAAAAAGCGTTTATAACTGCAATATTTAGTTTAACCACAGAGGTGATCCTTAATCTTCAATAAGCCGGTCACACTTTTATGTCGGTTTAAGTGTATTAAGCGCGTGTATTGAGCCGCTGAGCTGAAGCCAGTGAAGTGGCTTACTTTATAATGATTATACTTCAAAACACTCGTCTCAATTTAACAATGCAATGTCTCTTTATTCACTCTTGAAACCTCAACAATACAACAGTGACTTTAAAGTAAGTCTAACACAACGGTAACTTCGCAACGTATATCAGCCGCTGACCCGCCACTGGCTCTTGTCTTTTTCATTCACTCACAAGATGGATGCGAACGCAGACAATGCAGCTGAAGAAATCCACAGCCATCCGCCGCCTGAAGTAAGTGTTACCCGTCACTCTCCCACAGAATCGGTGGTTCAGGCTCTCGTTGCCGACCAGTCCATTTTAAGTACCCTGTCTCAAGCGATTGTATCTGTAATTAAGCAAGATTTACCAGGCCACGCGATCGACCAATCGCGAGCTGAAAAAGCTGCAGCGCCTGTGGGCCAGTCGGCCGAACAATCTGCCGTAGAGTCTGTGGACCAAACTGGCAAAGTCAAGGCAACAAAAAGACGTCTCCCTATTGATGTTGTTGTGATTGATGAGAATACTCAATCTAAACGCCCACGCGGCGATAAATCCACTTCCTACTCCAGCAGCTTACAAGCAGATCAGTCGTCCGCTAATGAGGATAACGACCTTGACGGCCTTTTGTCCCCCAACTCTCGTTGGGAACCTAGTGAGGAATTTGATACACTACTTAAAGCCTTGTTAAAGCCTTTACAATGCTTCGAGCGAAGAACCATCATTCGAGAATTCCCAAGGCCAGCATCAGAGGGAGCCTTCACTCCCAACTTAGACAATTATCTAAATTCCATGATTTCTGGGGCCAAAACTCCAGATAATTCACTGAGAGATATACAGGACAAAATTCTTGATGTCTTGGGTCCGCTTTGCGCACTACATGAAAACTTTACGCTCATGCAGGTTCCACGGGCGTTTTCGGGGTGGCAGAGGTCAATACAGAGCCCCCTACCGAGGCTTCTTTCGCCCCACATCAAGCTATCAGACCACAAGCACATCATTCAGGGGCAGGAGCAGAGCCCCATTTACCCAGGCCCAAGGGCCATATCAGCCAAAACCACATCAATAGTTCCAGCTCGCCCAAGTCACCTTCCCTCAGGTATGTTCAGAGATTTTTTGAATTTCCCCAACAACTTGCCTCAGGCAGGCCAAGTGAAACATTTTTTAGCAACATGGGAACAGATTACAAAGGACCCCTGGGTCCTCCAAGTAGTCTCCGGTTATCAAATAGAGTTTCTAGACAATCCTGTACAACGAAACACCTCTCCTCCTATCCCATGTTCATTGGACCATCAAACCATAATAGATCAGGAGGTTTGGGAACTGTTATCAAAAGAGGCAGTCCATTTCGTTCAACCCGACTCTCTACAGGAACCCGGATTCATCAAGCTCCCTTTTTGTAATACCCAAAAAGGGTGGGGGCCACAGGCCAGTGATAAATCTAAAACCCCTAAACTGTTTCATCCCATACGAACACTTCAAAATGGAGTCCATACACATGTTAAAAGATCTTTTAAAGAAAGGGGATTACATGGTGAAAATAGACCTCAAAGACGCATGTCTGGGGGTTTTCAACTGCCTCCATCAGAAGTGGGGTCCCCTGAATATCGACCTCTTTGCCTCCCGTCTCTCTTACCAACTAGATCACTTTGTAAGCTGGCGTCCAGACCCTCTAACAATTCACACAGATGCATTCACCCTGGACTGGGCGACCTTTCGGGGCTATGCCTTTCCTCCATTTGCCCTGATAGGCCGATGCCTTCACCAAATTCAGAGCCACCAGGTGTCACACATGGTGTTTGTAGCACCAGTTTGGCCAGCTCAGCCCTGGTATCCACTACTATTAGACCTGTGCATAGACTTCCCTCTCCTCCTACCAGTTCAGGAAGATCTACTGACCCAGGGAAGCAGAACCCACTCTCTCAAACACCTACAGCTAGCTGGGTGGCTTCTGTCAGCAGAGGTTACCAAACAGCAGACATTTCTGCGCAGAGTAGAGAAATCCTCTTGGCAGCCTGGAGGAAAAATACAACTAGTGCCTATTCCTCTGCCTGGACAAAATGGAGTAGCTGGTGTAGTCAACAGGTCAATGTTAATCCCCTTTCACCATCTTTAACTAATGTTTTGGATTTTCTCGCACTCCAGTTTCATGAGGGTAAAGAGTACAGAACCGTTAATGTCTATCGCTCTGCCCTTTCTGCTGTCTTGCCTCTAATTGATGGTCACAAAGCAGGCTCTCATCCGCTAGTATGCTAGTTGCTCAAAGGCGTGTTACAACTCCGCCCACCACAACCCCGCTCAGAGAATAAGGTGCTGCTTGAAATTTTGAACACACTTTACTCCAGAAAGAAGTTGTCACTGTTTGTTGTTGATGAGTGCCACTGTGTAAGCAAATGGGGGCACCAGTTTCGAGATTCCTATTTAAGTCTAGGGAAACTCAAGCTTCTATTTCCTTCAGTTCCAATGCTTCTCTTGACAGCTACAGCAACAAAGTTTACACGTGAGGATGTCCTTGGAATTTTAAAGCTGAACAATCCTGTTGTCATAGCAGCATCAATGAACAGAGAGAACATCACTTATTCTGTGAAAGAAAAAACATCAAAGACTGTTGAAGAAATATTCAGAATGACAGTTCCTGTGGAGGGTTACCTTGTGTTTTGTAACACTAGAAATGAGTGTGAAGAGCTGTCTCCTAAGTTGCAGGCGAAAGGATTAAAGTGCAAATTCTATCATGGAGGGATGGATGACAATTTAAGAGGAGAAATTCAGTCCAAGTGGATAGATGGTTCTCTTCAATGCCTGGTGTGTACGAATGCGTTTGACTTGGGAATTAACAAGCCAAATCTCCGTCTGGTCATTCACTTTTCCATTTCAGCTTCATTAGAAGATATGTGCCAAGAGACAGGAAGAGCTGGACGGGACGGTCTACCTGCTTCATCAGTGTTGTACTACTCACATCAGAATCAGGTTGTTCGTGTAAGAAACATTTATGAAAGAATGAGATTAGAGCCATGTCTGTGTGAGAATCAAATCCAATGTTACAACCATATGATGTATTATGCTATCCAGAAAGGTGAATGTCGTCGGACAGTTATGCTCAGGTATTTTGGCGAAGCTTCTCCTTGCCATGAAATGTGTGATATTTGTCAGAATCCTCACTCTGGTAGCTTTAAAGAACAAGATATCACTGAAATTGCCAAGAAGGCAGTGTTATGTGTTCAAAGAGTGACTGGAGTTAGTGGCCAAAGCAAGTTTACACTTCACCACTTCCCTAAAATTGTAACGGCGAAAAAAGTAAAACACAATCATGATCAGCTCACCGAGTACGGATGTATGAAAACTCCAACAAACGATGGAGTTTTCATCCTTCAAGTTCTTGTGTCAAAAAACATTTTAAGAGAAGTCCCACCCGACAAATCGTCGAAGAACAGAAACGCATTATACTTAACCTTAGGCCCTTCATTTGTAAATATCCTGAGTGGTTCATTAACTGTATCGTGTAAGTTCTAGTGATAAATGAACCACTTAGGTTAGAACGTTAACTCCAATAGTTTTGAGTTGCTTTTAAGCTTGTAAGCCAGTTACCAGTGGGCCTTGACGTTGTTTGCAGCCATGGTCAGTTGCATCTACGCGTCAACACATTAGGAAAAAAGGAAACATGTAAATTCTAATTGCATGCAAATTAACATATGTTTTGCCGCCAATGATATGAAGTTGAATTAGGCAGCTGTTATCCACTTGATTTCTTTTCACTTGACAAAATAATCACGTAATATCTGGCAACCTATTAGAACATGTTTTTTTTCTCTCGGGACTCCACCCTTAGATGCAACCGACGGTACTTAACCCCTGATGACAGCCTATTTGGTAGACTTTTGCAGAGATGTGTAATTATTGAGTGACCGAAAACAGCTAGCTATGTTAAAGGGCACCCAACGACAGTTTCCCCCCAAATGCAATGAAAGCACTTTTAGGCTATCCAGATGAGTTTTAGACCTCTACAAATGAATTGCAAGCTGCACCATGACATATGCATCTTTTCGGTCATCCTAGGGCGGGGGGATTTAAGCCTTTTCGAAATTACGAAAATGAAAATTGTTTCTATTCCTCAGTTCATCCCCGTTTTTTAATCCAAAACTTTTAGATTTCCTTTTTTTAAGAAAAATAGCCTAACCCTGGGGGGTATGAAATGTGACAAATAAAACTTCAGAAAATCGTAAGGAATTTATTGGATAAGCTTCCAAAATTGTACATGGATGAAATGGTCGTCTATAAATTTTTAGCCATCCTCAAGTATTAGGCAATATTTGTTTCTCTGAACAGATATTTCACAGAAAACAGTGGTTGGGTGCCCTTTTTGTTAATCATTTGTACTTAATAGCTTTCAGAAACCCTATCCAGTAGCCTTGGATTTTTCACTTTTCATTTAGCGACTACAAAACTACCAGATCGAGTTACGAAAATCATCCAATATTCACAGATTGTCCGTATTAGGGAAGAGCCTCAACAGCATTTCTTTAAAATGGTCTGTTAAATATTTGTACCCAGTTTCTTTAGGATTTAGCAACTTGGATGCCAGCTTGTCGCGGTTTTCAGGGACTTCCTTATGTGCACGTGGATAGGATAGCACACAATCTCCCCCCTTGTCTTGAAACCATCCCTCTTTAATAGCAAACCATCCAATTGTGATTCTATCTGGAAGGGAGTCCTGGATGTGAATGTTTGGAGGTGCGATGTAGGTCAAATCCATTCCTGTAAGCTCTTTTTACATGCTCAGATAACTGGATGGTCATTTTTACCTTCTGGAGCATTGCCATGGTTGTTTGTTTCTGGGCGTATACTTTCAGAGGTTTCACCATGCACATTTCAACAAATTCGTCAAGAGCTACACAGTGACCACTAGCCCCTTCTCTCAGCGAAACTGCACAATTGTTGCGAAACATTGGTCTTAATGCAATGGGCCACAAAGCTGAAAAATTGACAATATGCACAAAGGCCTCATCATGATAATTCTTCTTAATCAAGGCAGCAAATATCGGCAGCCACTGCATCCAACATGCTTCACGAACACTACCCTGGCAGTTACGGACTGCTGACTGGTAAACTAAGAGGAGCGGACCATAATAGAGAACAAAGTCACTGTAGTACTTGAAAGTACAATCTTTACTCATTTCTTGTTTCCAGTCCTTCAAACGCGTTAAAAGCAAAGTGTTCAGATTCTGGTGGGCCTTCAGCCAATCAGCCATGCAGTCGGCTGTTGGAAAGAACTCACTTTTCTTGAATTCATGGAAGAAAGCTATAACAAGACCAAAGAACATATCCTTTAAAAATTCAAAGTTTCTCTCATAATTCTCTTCCTTGAAAGCATGCTGGAAAGATTCTGGAGTCACTTTCAGTCTCTTTAATACATGAGATGCAATGTAATAAAAACCTCCGGGCCCATATAGAGCTGCTATTGATTCCATACAATATGCAATACAATGGAAGTCACCAGGTGTCTCTGAAAACTTTCCAAATTCATCTGGACACCTATTCTTTAAGCCTCTTGTTGTGACAGTTGTCTTAACATCACCAATAGAAATCACAGTGTTTCTACCACTTGTAACTTGCACAGTTGTTTCACTAGTAGGTACTTTCTCGTCCTGACACGTTTCTATCTCTGAACAAATGGTATTACTTGTTTCCAATACACCCAACAGTTCTTTTTTCAAATGTTTGTTCAATGAAGTAGTTTCAATGGCCACATGTGAGATAACTCTGACAATTTCTTCATTTTCCATTGCTTGAGCAGCCTGCAAAAGCGAAGGGATGGTTCCAGGAAATGTACCAACTGGTCGTGCCCCATACTTTAAAAGTAATTGAACCATATTACACTGCTTAGTAAGCACAGCAATCAGTAATGGCGTCGCACCATTTCCTTCTAATGCATTCACTTCTGCACCACTGGCTAACAAGCATTCAGTCAGTGTGATTAACTGTTTTTCAACACCTAAATGAAGAACTGTTCGGTCATAATCATCACGGATGCTTATCCACCTCCCTAAATTGTATTTAAGATACACGTGTCTGAGCGACTTTCACTCTAAGACGTGTGGTCGGACGTTAAGCAGTTGTTACAAACTGTAACGACTACGAAAATTAAAGTAGACTGAAAATTTTAACGAACTACATTCTCGTAAGTGTCCAACTTCCCCTTCATCAACAGTGTCAATAAACTGCCGTTCAGAATTGAAGAGATGCTCCATCTGCTCTAAATCCTGCAGATGAATATCAAGTTCCCTATAAACTTTAAACCTTTCTCTTGACGCTTTGAGGTCGTAAATCTTTTTCACTTTGTTGAATGGGATATAGCTGTCTTTTCTATCAATTCCTAAATGGAATTCTTTTGAATACTGCCTGAAGATAACTGCCTCACCGCATGTATAGGCTTCGTCAGCCAAGCAGAAAGGCAAAATAAGGATATTTTGAGCTGGAAGACCGTCTTTGCTTGTCATTGTTGTGAGGACAATCCCAGGAATGCTATTCTTTTTTGTGGTGGATGTTTGACCCGTGAAGACAGCATGCAAACCTTCTTGATTCATTGTGTGCAATTCTCCAATACATTCTGGCCCATTTGCGGTTACATTGATGGCTTCAAGAATAATTGAATCCATTTCCTTGTTGAAATTCTCATCAAGGTGTGCATCTGAATCTTAAATAGCAAAAAATAAAGCCATTGATTTATTAACTTTAAGATTAACTCTCTCTAATTGCGAGTATGCTACAAAGCCCATTTCAAATCAGATGAAATCAGCATTCCGCAACTAATTAACAATGATCAGACTGGCTTTCAAAAAAGTGGATTTATAACACTGGTCAAAAGTGTCATAAACTATATAGCATAACAAATCCTTGGTTTGGTACTTTTCATTGACTTCTAAAAGGCTTTCGACTACGTGGAATGGTCATTTGTTACAGATAGGTGTTTGGCAAAGAAATTAAAGCTTTAAATATTACAAATTTCGTTGTGTCGTCGAATTCGGTTTACTTGTGATTAACAACTTGGAATTTTGTTATATTGTTGTCCAATTTTATTTTTATTACCCATAAAAAGACGGAACTGGGCTCCACTCAGTCCTGTTACCGCGACTTATTGAAAAGATAATAATATTATAAATCTATCTCAGAACAGATTGCAGTACCAATTAAAAGGTTTTCCTCTGTAAATTCTGACAATAACTTCTGGGGTTCAGTAGCAGCTTTTGGTTCCTTCCACAGACTCTCAATGCCAGACAAATCAGGTTTCAACGCAGCTCTGACAGTGAAATTCCACATAACGGGGGTGACAGATTGCTTGAGTCTCACATGGCGAGATCTTCCTTTATGAATGTTGATATTGTCAAACATCAGTATGACAGGCCAATGACGTGGGAACTTATTGTCTATGATATCGCAATAACTTACCAATCTTTTGTTGAGGAACTTGCGGCTGATTAAAACAAAACAAGGGAAAATAACATTAATTTACGGTTACATGTACCAGATATACAGTGATGTAAAAATCCCTTTTGCTGGAAAGTCCTCTCTCTTGTATGAAACATGGCCTTTACTTGGCATTACCAGGACTTGTCTGGAAATTTTTTCCATCATCATATTAAAAGTTGTTACCAAATAAGAACAATCTTTATGAAGAATGTTTAGTACCGTCATGTAAGTTGACAAATCAAAGCAACCAGGATAGTTAATCACACATTACAGGAAAATAATTATTGCACTTGTTTCTTGACTTCATTAGTCTAACATGTACTAGAAGTTCATTCAGTGGAAGTCCACAGAACATTGACACTCCAAAAAAGAGTTACTATAGCAATATTGTGTAATCATCCTTCAATTAACCATTCATTACTCCATGTAGAATGAAGCTTGTCAGAAAATGTTCATTTTTACATGATGTGTAATTTAATGTATCTACAAGTAACAAATGATGAAAAAAAAAATTGTTTAAAAAAAGGAATTTGGCACAACAACTAGACTGGTGGGTAACATTACAAGTACTTACTAGAATTCATATCCTCTGCAAAGACCAACTGGTTCTAATACATCAAGAAGTGTTTTCCCAGCTCCATGTGAAAGAAGCAGCAAACCAAATACTGTAGAGAAATCACTTTTGATTGTTGAGATTTTATATCATCCAATGCAAGGACACTATGAAGTACTGATTTAAATTTATAAGCTGGTTTTTTTCCCCAGTGTTTCGATCATCTCGTGTCCCTGTTCCCAACACCTGAATAATTTCCTTAAGAATGGGGCACTTTTCTTCCACTTCTCTTGCCATGTTTTCAAAGAAAAGTTCATTAAAAACAAGTTCAAGATCATCTTCTTCATTGATTCTTTTCATACCAATGTCTGTGAGTGTTTGCACATAATTAAGTTCCTTTTGCAGTCCTTTTTTGAGATCTAATGGAACCACAGATGTAACTGCATGCAAGCTTTACTTTTTATGATGTTGTTGTCCCTGTTGTAAATCATGGCAAATGCTCTTTGATCGTTCATTCTCAGTCAATTTGAACTTTAAGTTTTTGTACACTTGTCTATTGCCATCTCAGTCAAGAAAAATGATTACAAATTTCTTTCCCTCTTTCAATTTTTCCACACTAAAGAGAACAGTCTTTTCGCATCATTTAAACAATTTTTTCGAGTAATGATTTAAAGTGATTTTAAATAATAATATTATCATGTAAAAAATGACAAATAATAATAATAAGAAGAGTTGAAGTCAGTCTCTCTGCAAAACTCAAGCAATTTATATCTCCATAATAAGGGGATACAGTAGCTCTATTTTCATTGTCTACAACACACCATAGGGACATAACAAGTGCATGTAAAAAGCATAAAAGTGGTAAAGTAATGTTAAAAGATACACTGAAGACCTAGTATCTTTTCCATTTCTTTGATTTGCTGTAACGTTTGAAGTGTGAATGACACCAGGAAAAATTGTTTCCACTGCTTCCTTGATTGAAGCTCTGGTATACACGTATGTTCTTCCCAGTTTCTTAGAGACAGCTGCAGCAACGTCTTTCACAGGTAAGTCACAACCACTGCAATAATCAAACAATGATCTCACTGTGCCCTGCAACAGGGAACTTTGATCTGTCAAAAAAAATGAAAAGGATTAGACTGATTTACATTGAAGTGTTTTTACAAGCATTTACGGGAACAAAGATGAAATGCTGACAGTTTTAGAATATGTCAATTATTGTTGTTCATTCGAAATGCGTAACCATTTTCAATTGGCTCAAGCCTCCCACTAATTCATAACCAACAGGTACTTTACATAGTTGGAGGATGCGAGCAATATACCCTTGATTCCATGGTATATGGTTTTAGAAGCAAGGTTAGTACATGGTATATTTACTTAGCAACAAGGCTGCTTGGACAATATTGAGTGAACTAAAAATGTGTGTTTACATCTATACTAAGACGAAATAGCTAAATTTTCTGACTAAAACTGGATGGAATGCAAGAACATGCAAATCATGTTTCTGGATGAATATTATCTACTTTTTGTGAAGTATAAAACCGTTTCAGATATCCTGGAACTGTGCTGGGAAAAGGCCAAAGTTTTTTTTAAAAAGTTTGCAAATGTAGAAATGTTTAAAATGAAAAATAACACAATAATTGTTATTTGGTTTTGAAGTGATGTGCAGAATTATGCTGATCTGAGGTGGGCATCATTCTATTTAATTTGCATAATCTTTTGCATTGTACTCTACCTCATTTAATAATTTATCCCCTAGTTTAAAATTAAACTGGGAAACAATGGTAAATACATTGTACAGTTATACACGTACCTATTTCCTTTAACCTCTTTTGACGGTTCGTTTTTGTTGAAGGACTGTATTGAAACATCCTTTTTCCATAAGAGATAACTTTCGAACGAGGAGAACATCCTACAAAATAAATTTGTTTTAGGCAAAACACTAAGTATGAAGGAACTAGAAATAAGCTCATTATCATCTCCTTCCACAACAGTCAAATAAAAGTGAACAGGTTTGCCCTACAGGTCTTATTCTTTCCTTTGCCTACAAATACTTTATCCACCTCTTTAAAAAAAAACAAAGTAATAGCTTAGCTTAAATAAATGTCAGGATTTGATATGGCATACAGTAGTACCTAGCTTCATCGATGCCTTCTTCAGCTTCTTTGGTGTTCTGACAGGACAAACAAGTTTTCGAGGAGGGGAACTTCCTGAAAATTTTAAAATGTTGCTCAATAAAACCACACCGAGATACCTTCGTGTATTTAAAATTAAAATACAATCACTTGTAGAAAAACAGAAATCGAATTTACCTTTCGGGTGGCCGCACAGTGGATGACTAATAAGCTCTAAATCACTTTCCCCGCTATCGTACTCCCACTCTGAGTCGAAAAAAATGTATATGTAAGTTTTTGGTGAAAATTTGCAGTCTAGGAGAATTTTAGCTTGAGTCCCAGACTAGGAGAATCTTTGACCGTAAACAATCCGCCACGACGAACGAAATGTTAACAAGAAAAAATAATATGCTACAAAGTTAGAACTTACCGCTGTTTGCGGACACTTCAACAGACACACCCATACTATTGCCGGGCAGGTTTTCCAAAATGGAGCTCTACAAACTCGTAAAATGTGACCAGGGGTAAAATTGCGCTAAAATCAGGGGTATTTTGCCAAAATTGGCTAGACGTTCTCTCTTTCCCAGACTTCGCGCGGACAACGGGTCAAGAGAGAACGCCTGGGGACTAGGCTGGTTAGAACTCTAGCTCTTTCAAAGTTCTCACGATGCAGACTGCTGTAAAGTGTACAGAGAGCCTTGAGCGAAATTTGATATGATCGTTAATAGAGTATCTTTGATTATTTGACGTTGCTCTGGAATTGGGCCAACTTGACCAAAACCAGGTGATTTCCGACAGACGGTAGAAAATCTGATAGGCTATAAATGAATAGGGCGGTCAGCAAAAACTTTATAACAGCGGACAAAACAAAGTCAATCTATTAGGTCTTCAATTGGGCCCCACTTAATTGAACAGTATCGAATTTATAGCCTTTTATCAGCGTGCGTTCACTGGGCCAGGTGAGCATCAGTTTCCCCTCAGTCGTAAGAAGATAAAATCCGATAACCATTCCTTTCCTGGGCGCTCAAACAGAATTGACTGTTTTAAGAGACTGTATTTTTGTAAAATTTGTTAAAACCTTGAAGTTATTTCAGCTTCAGAGACGTAGTTATTA